TATCTTCACATTATATATTATGCATCATTGAACATACGCATGACTACAGTGAGCCTATTTGTCAAACATAAGCAGGGACGTTATCGAGCCACCGATAATCTGGCATCCATAGGGTTAATCGTTAGCCGTAAAACGGCCAACAAATTTAGCTGTTGTTGACTGCAAAATTTTGTTGACTCTTTTGTACTTTCCGGAGCAGCATCTGAAATCAACTTTTTTATATCACTACCACTCGATTCTATGAAGCAAGTTCGTTTTCTACTATGTAAAGTAGTAAAGATAAAAATTGAAAGTCTTAAGCTGGCTTTTTTCCGCTGTCTTTGTTTCCTTTCGACGGAAATAATCGAAGAACAAATAGCGACGTAACTGGAGGCTATTGCGTGATAACTTTCCGGTAATCTTGTGCCACGTGACGTAAGGCAACCGATAGAGTCGCTCGAAAATTAACGAGTGGATTATAATGTTTAATATGAACTATTTAAAAAATGTAACTACAATAATGGCGATCTTATGATACCTTTTCCCTCAGCTCGACAAAGCTATTCAAAGTAACTTAAGCGAGTCTTGCCAGAATGTGACTTGGAACTCAGCGTTCGAGGACTGCAAATTGAAATGTTGCTGTTCAGCCAATTCTTGCGAAGAGACACGTAAGTTTTCTTGAAATTCATAACTGGTCTTAATATCTTTATATCAAGGAGTGTGCATGTACAGCGATTCTCAAAAAATGTTTTTACTTTGCAAGCAAGATGTTCAGCTAGTAGGGACTGGTCGTATTGATCTCCCGCAGGGCAAAAAAAAGGGGGTGAAAGGATTTTGTTTGTGACACCATAAAATTTACATGAACCCCCTGAGGTAAAGTCTGTAGCCTATTTTCCCACTTAGGCGGAGCTCATTCCGGTTTTTATGTTGCATGAAGCGACTAGGAGTATTACCACTCTCTCCTGGATGGGATGCTAATCCATCAAAAGGTTACCGCCCCAGCATTTCATCAGGCTTCCCCAACAATTCTCCGGTACCCATTTATACTCCTGGGAGGAGAGGGACAGTACCCATTTATACTCCTGGGAGGAGAGGGACAGTACCCATTTATACTCCTGGGTGGAGAGAGACACTGTGAAAGTAAATTATTTTACCCAAGAACACAACAGAATGACCCAACTAGGTCTCGAACCCAGACCTC